GAAGCGCATAACAGCCTGTACTTCGGACATTCCTTGAGAAATATCGACAACCGTCACCTAAATATGAAAACACAAGTTAACATACAAAGGTAATCGTTCACTTTACAAGCAATATGTCCTCGCACTACAAACAAACCCTTCAATGAGTTCTTGAGGGTATCCGGATTCATCTATGACCTATTTGCATACGAAAAATGAGCCCGTTAGTTTTTTTTTTACGTCTAGTAGAAGCAATGGGCGAGACGGGTAACTTAATCTGGTTTGGCAATAGCTGGTGATGTACGCGAGGAATGTCTATCGCTTTCAAAATGTTCATGTTAAAGTCATAGACATTTATTATAGCCTATTGACAAAGAAAACAGTCAGTCTACGGCGCTTTTCCTCAATAAAATAGATTCTTTAGCAGAACAAGAGGGCTTACTTGTAGAGAAGCTGTTACTATCTTGGCGCCATCACTGGCACCAAGCACCATCTCGATCTCGCCATTATTTTCTATTATTGCCGGGATAGTGGTCTCTTGGCAGGTGCTGTCACATGCATAATAAAAATCGCGTTTTTGTCATATAATGGCAGACTTGTTAGAACATTAAAACTTTCACCTACCGACGTAATTGGGCGTGCCTGGTATAGAGAAATCATCCATTTCGTCATTAAGCAGTATTCCTGTCTTTTGATCTAATACAAGAGATCCAAAGATTATTAACATTGTAGAAATGTATTACGTAGCATACCATTGTGTCCCAGTTATTTCACTTGCCTTGTAGTTATCCAGTTTAAAACATGGTAATGCGTTTGGTTATTATTATGATACACATCAATTTTGTACTGGTTCAAATTTCGCTAAATACAGAACCTCTTTCTCTTTTCTATCGGCTGCGTTTGTCCCACTGAACAAAAATCACGGATAAAATACGGTCGTTCTATGATAAAATTTCTTGTAAAAGAGTTTTTTATTATTACTGATACATTATGTTTATGTTGTACTCTATAGCATGATCAAATGCGAGTATGTATTGACGTTGGTGCCCTCCAGGGTTGACATTTTCGTCACTGAGCTCTGAGAACAGATCTGTAATTGCTCGTTCAGATTGTGCAGATTTGATGTGACGTTTGAAATTGTCCTCGGTTACTTCTTTATGTCGTATTTTGTTTATGTATTTGACTCCAAAGAATTCCAAGGCTTCATCAAATGCAAAATAGTGACCTTCCCGTGTAAGGTTTATAGAGTCGACGTGTTGAAGAAGTTGACGTAATTGAGGATACCGAGTGATTTCTGAAAGGAAGTGGACTGCTGCTCTGCTGTATAGATGCCTTCCGCTACTCGCAAATAAGGGAGCAAATGCAGCTAAGTGTGAAGACTGCATGTCAAGATTTCCTGTTCGAATTCCCGTTTTATGTCCCTTCCAAATGCTAGTCCACTTGTAATAGAGATACCAGACTTTAACCAAGTGGGTTTCACCTTCCATTATATCTTCCTCTTCAAGCTTCTTCTTTATTGGTATTATGGAAGCTCGACTGTATTTGGATGTTTTTAATATCCAGTTTCATACATGAATGAAAGGCGTCTCTAGCTTTCTCCGCCCCCATGACTTTGTCGCATATAAGTGTTACGCAAGTTAACATGTCACATGATTATATTTAAATTAAAATTAATTTTTGTGATTCGTCTTTGCATCACCTCAAAGCATAGTTTCTTTTACTTTGCTAGGTTAATCACAACGGCAGCGGGCTGAAATCGCTAAACAACTTTTCATTGAAGAGAACAAGACTATTATCTTGGCAGCATGATCGCAAGCGTTCATTTTATTGGCATTTGGTGTCGCACATACTGTAAAATTAATAAGCATTGTGCAGCTGCAACACGACGCATTATGCAACTGCAAACTTTTTCCCTCGTATAAAGGGACATTGAAATTTGTAAAAGAAAGACACTTGTTACACTCTAACTGATAATGCATGTTTGTAAGTATTTTCTATTATTAATGTGTATCCAGGTATATCATCTCTATTGATTTTAACAAACAAATTGGCCCATGCAAAATATTACATTAAATATTACTAATGTTCTATTAACAAAAATGACTAACCAATCACAACAGCAGCCACAACCATTTTCTTTTTATTTACTTTCTTCATCAAGATGATAGGCTTTGTGTTTGCGCAGTGCGTCAATGTCATCTGTCGCTTCAAACTTGGCCTCTTCATACAACTCTTTCTCGGGCAAGAGCTTCAGCATGAGAAATTCAACAATGATGCCAGCCAGTCCGAATAGAGCAAACCCAGCGACAATGTTTTGGAGTAATGAAATCATGTTGAATTCACCAATCTGCCCATGCTGTTGAAATACAAATCGAATACCATGTCGATCTTTTAATATGTACGACCCATCTGACTGGTACAAACTCTCGACAGTTTTGTATTCGTTTCCATCTATCACTTGAGGAAGATATTTGTAGGACAGCTCGTTCTTTTTGAACGGGACGTTTGTATATTCAATCACAATCACTATCACGATACCAGACGATCTGTACGTTTCTCCTGGAGCAGCACCGGGAGCAGTTGATGGCGCATCCAAATCAGCACCGGCAGCCTGTAACAATTCGCTTACTTTGAGGATATCTCCATCTGCGGAGGGGTTGTCCGCCATTCTTGTTGCGTTGGTCCATTCCTTGATGACGGTTTTTCCATCTGATGACATTAGTTTTCCGTCCATTAAACCGTTACGGACTGCAATGGATGTCGCTTTGCCTCGGATAGAATGTTCGATCATTAACGTGTAATCTTCAATGTCACCGATGTATGATTTGTTGGCAATAACGTTGGACGGTGTTGTTTTCGCGTTAAAGATACAAGCATCGCTCGGAGAAGATGGGGTTAGAAAATTGCAGCCGGTTGGCGGAGGGTATTGTGTAACTGACGCACGGGTCGTTATAAAGGCTACACCGGCTCCGTCCGATGGGAATTGGACTGAACGATGAATATACGGGTAAATGAATGAGCGTTTCGGTAAAACAAATGTTCATTAAATTGATACACGTAGTTTCGATTTTCATATTTACTTACTCTCGTTTGCACCCCAATAAATACATGGGAGAGGGTTACTGCAGTATGAGGGTGCCGACAGTGTCTTTGGAGCCTGAAGAGATATTCTGACTGCTCCGTCGACTGGAGGTTCCTGAATGGGATGAAGAAGGTTAATAGAGAATTCTAACTAAAACAGACAAAGTAGTAATAGTTCAGTATGCACCTTACTGAGATATCCTTCATTAGCGATTATTGTATACAGTATATATGCGAAGATGGCCAACTGAAACAGCCGATACAGAGCACCGAGTCTTTGGCTAAAATACAAATGAAAGTAGGATGTTACCATGTGAACACGGATGTAAAAGAGGAAAGGAGGCAACGATGAATAAAAGAACTATTGAGAATATATACTCACTCTTGAACCTTTACTATCTTGAACGTTTCGTATCTGTTGTCAAAATCAAAACGATCGATCAGTATCAAAATCCCAGTCTATGTGAAATTTCAATATTTCTCCAACACGTACTGTAAAAAACTTGAAATATTTATCTTCATGGTTGTTGATTGAAGAGTGAGGGATGGGAAGAGAGGAGAGAGTTGAGGCGATCAGTGAATAAGCGGTTGATTATATTTAAAGGAATGAAATGAAACAATGGTCGGGATTGTGGTTAATCGGACAAATAAATTTGGGACAAAAAATAGGCAAAACGTTGTATTTATATTATAAAGACATAGATTGTGTGTGTGCCAAGAAAACGGTTAATGTATCCTTTATTCTATTTTCGGAATTTACCAATAAGCTTTAATGCAAACACATGTATTTTAATTCTTTATTCAATTCACCCACACCTATCAAATATTACGTCTTTGGTTAGTTTCACCTCATCTGAGTCACCTTCCCAATTGGTCCTCCGTTCTCCCCGTATCGACTTATCCTTTCAGAGCTTCTCGGCGACTGTTATGGTAAAGATGCTGACTTTCAATTAGGTATCGAAACGAGATTCTTATTACTCACAGGACTTTGGAGAGTACGTTATCATTGGCATTTCATCGACCGCTTCATTCGCTCTAGACACCAGCAAGCCTACTATTCGTTTAAACACTATTGAAGAGCGACGCTAACTGTAATTAGAGTTATCACATGGTTGGCCCCCAGGGAAAAGGTGCGTCGATCAAGGGTTCCGACCTTGAAAGTGAGAAGTTTGTTTGATAATCAAGTTTCGTTGGGGGCTAACACCAGTTAGATCTGTTTTCGCCCGAACTGACGAAGAGCATTTCCATAGTTAAATACTTTACCCGATTCTGTCCCTTACAAGGAAATTCCGCTTTCCTGATTCTGTTTGACTAATACAAATAAAATAATATTAAACAAACTTGGAAAATACTACATCCAATTTTTATTTTGATCACATAATAAAACAGTATGTTGCGTGACAATTAGGTTAGATGTCGAATAACTAATTATCAATGTTCTGATAATTTTCAATTCCTCATAGTACAAGTTATCGAAAACCACAACACGTGGCAGAGCAAGGAATTCGATTTGTTAAAACATTCGACTCAACAAAGCGTCTACGTACAACGTAATGTTTGATCGATTATAGGTCCTTGTTGACGTTATGTGACTATGTGTCGTTTTTTCCGTATTTTCTATAAATATATTCTCTCTTGGTGGCACAACTTGGACTATAATACTATTGCTCCGCAAATCATCTCACCGTATGCAGCAAAAGAATGTTAATAGTTGAAGATAATTACGCTATGACCACAAAACCTCTGTTTAAGAATATTAGCACAAGCACAGATAAGCATTGATGCCGACTAAAGAAATTTTATACTTATGTTTGATTCAGTTAAGTGAAACAAGACGGGTATCAGACACTACCACCGTTTTAGTGTTTTTAGTTATGACAAATACAGAACTCGTTACATAGCATTCAATGATTTGAAACAACATTAAAGTCTTATTTGGTAAGCACTTGTCAGCGTTCAAGTAAGCGTAGTTAGTAACACGTGACGCTGACAATCGCACAATGTGGGAAGTTTCGTTGCAGATAATTTCACTGATACCCACCATTTTTGATGTACTAATTCGTTTATTTGTTAATTTACATATTATTATATGATATAAATTTTCATTCTTTATGATTAATACACGTCTGCGGGTGAATAACGTCGAATATAATTTGTCATCGAATAAACGCACTGTGTTAGGGAATGCGATCGCAAAAAAAGTTATGTCTACTGGCCGAATTGACATCGTGAAGTGAAAGCGTGACTTTGCTGCGAGTATAACAAAACGCAACCGATCTATCGAAAACGAAACTTTAGCCACAAATGTGACCATAATCTGACTGCGCTTTCACTGTTTCCCTCTTTTCCCTCTCTCTCTCTCCCCCTCTCTGACATAATAAAAGGGGTAGCTGCGGCGAACCACGACTACCCCAACCAACAAAAATTGTGCCGTCGAGACACCCCGAAGGACGTTCGAGACAGAAGCCGTCAGCGACGTGCAATGCCGACAACCTCCGCCCGCCCTACCGCCTTCTTGATCACGGTTGGGCCCGGCCAGGTAAGTATGAGTTGGGTGGAACCACACACCATGTCTATTTATACAAATTGGCCATGAGACAAGAGATTATGGGATCGGTAAATGGTAATTGGTCAAGTAAATATTTATTTATCGGCACGTGCAATTTTACTGCGTTTTTTATCAGGTGAATCGAACGCAGTAGTAAATATTCTTGTAAAGTCTGTTGTTATATTTACTGCTAAAGACGCAAACCAAACGCCCTACTATTTGCGCGTTAATGCTTGAAGCTGGAACACTTGAATATCTCACTTGCGACCGTAAGTCAAGAATGGTCGTCAGACTAGAAAAACTAAGACTCGAGAAACACAGTTCCACATATTGGCTAGCACGCTATACCGTAAAAACGAAGAAATAATCATTTATTTTTTATTCCTATTTATTCTTTTTCCCCTCTCTCTCATACAATGATAAACGTGACATAATAATAAGCAACACACGGTTTGATTAACAAGTATTGTCTTGAATAGGCGAATTCTGGATATGTGTGAGCTAGAGATAAGAGTAATATAATATATCTGACGCTAAGGCTGTAAGACTATTGAAGTAATTTCACAAACTTTTCGCTTTCCATGACTGGACAAAAAAAAAAGTTAATTCTCGCAGATTGAGAGTCGTATACTGCGTCGGGTAATGTAACAGTGCGATTACTTGTGGGTAGTCTGCAATAAGCAAGTTTTAGCAATAATGCTTGCCGTACAATCTGTCTACCAGCTGGTATTATCGACTTGTCGAGTCTTGGTATATAAAGAGACTATAATTCACGTGGTTTAGGTGAAGTACCCAAAAGTATCTATGATCTGCATCTCGTAAATGTTTGCGAGTCGTGTAAAAAGTAACAATGCTTTATAGTGAGAGCTAATAAACTGGTTTCGTTAGAATACTTTTTCCCAGTGTCAGGTCTACATGTTCGTGCTCGATTTGAAAAGGATGGACGGAACGTGGATTTAAGACAAAAACAGCCATGACAAAAATATAACTATTTGCAACAATAATTCTTTCGTTCCTCCATCATTCCCGATGACTAGCCATCGACATTTGTATTTTCTTTACGCTTCAAACTCCACGCGATTTAATGCATTAACGCACATGATGGACATGACGATTAAAATAAATACAATGAGGTCATTGGCAGCTCGTCTTCAGTCGATAACAGAGATAGTAAAAATTAATGTATCAAACTGCAAAGGATTGTGTGTGCGCAACGAATACATCATTATGGAATCCAAGGACGCTGACCTATGTTTTTTGACAAATTTATTGAAATTACAACTCCCGTTTTTAATAAATATACAAATCTGCTTCTCTATAATTACCGTGTACCGCAACGAGTAGGTTTAACAATGTTGCAAAACAAGTTCGGGAAAAGTTGTTATTGTACTTACAGCACGAATTAATTACGTTTGATAGCTTGGTGTTATCCAAACGAGTTATCCGCAATTATGGTTTAAATTAAAGTTCCAAAGCAAATATTGCTTCACATCGTTCTCCAGTGCGTTTATTTGTTGCTATGGCTTTGGTCTCCATCTTACCAAATGTCAGTGTAAAATCGATCGGTCTGTTACGCCCAAGATGAGGATCAGGAAGATCTACATGAATAAAAGACGTCAATAACAATATCCAATATCATGTTATTTCCGTGTTAACAGCGTCGCCAGCACTAATCTGACAGATATTAAACTCACCAATCTGCAATTTCCCAAATAATTTCATTCCAGGATCATCGCAGTATTTTCCGTCGTCTTCTGTGGTCGTATAAATCAAAAATTTCACTGTAGTTTGTTCTGCATAGATTGGCCAGCATTCAAAGAGAAACTTGGCATCGACTGCGACTTCAGTTCCACGTTGAGCTAGTTTGTGGAAGAGTTTGACCACACCACGATCGTTTTGGCGCTCCTTTGGATCCCAAGAACGAGCTTTCTCCCATATTTCAATCCCATATGTACGTTTGAGGACGCGCGTTTGTATTGTTTTCATATTAAGGCCTAATAATCAAACAAGTGTTAGGGAAAAGTCTATTACAGCTGACACATTTGTAAAATCTTTCATCATGCGTCTTATTTTCACTCAAATTTCGACATTTTAAACCTACCATAATACACCGCTCCTCTAACTACAGCAGCAATAGGTTCAGACGGCACAGCAATAATCTCTACTTCTCTTCCATATTCCTCTCGAACTCTTCTCAGAACATACGGCGATTCCGAAAACCCACCCACCATAAATAATGCCGATATCGCCTTCTTTGAAGAATTCAATTGGTCCCTGATTAACCTCAAAATCTTGTCAACAACCGTGTCAAAGAATATCTTGACAGTTATATAGTTCAATTCAATCAACCATTCCGTTTTCTCCATCTCTGTTTTTGTCTTTTCATCAACGTATTGGATCAGTGCTGGACACATGTCTTCAATGTCGAGCTCTTTCGATTTGAATTTTGCGGGTTCGCCCGTGAATTGGAGCTTTATTTGCGTAGAGAATTCTTGGACCAAATATTGCAGTTGGCTGTAGTTGTTTTCCTCTAGCTTGTCGATCGCCTCCGAGCCTACTAATTTCCGCATATATTTAACGAATTCTTTGTCAACGTACGAGCCACCGCAAAATTCGCCTGTACGTTCGGTTACTTCGCTGAGGCAGTCTTGATTCAACAGTGTTCGGGTCGTGAGATCCACTGTTCCTCCTCCACAATCTACTATCATAAACGAGGCTAGAGGGAATATCATGAAATGAGTGAATTAAAAAAGGAGGCATGAAAATATACCATTAAGTAAAGACATGACTGATGCTTAAAAATAATTACAATTGGATTCATTACTTACATCCTTTTCTTAGATTATGCTGCTTCAATACTTTCATACAGTATATGGCAGCTGCTTCAGCTGGATAGAGGTGAAAGAGAAAACTGTATGTAAGAGTCGTAGTCGTTATACAACGCAAAGTGCGTGTAGTTACTATTCTTATAATGATGATAAACTATACTTACGTTCGGTCGTAAATTCGAGCAACTCAGAATCCACTTTATCAGTCAATCCAGCGCTATGAGCGCATGCCCTCATAATGTATTTTGCTCTATCATCAAATTCTGCCGGAACTGTTATGACTTTCAAAATCTGCTTATGAAAGTCGAGCCCAGGCCACCTTGCAAGTAACGTTTCCTTCATCAGCTATTTCATAACAGAATAGTTTATGAGAGTCAGTATCGTAACAAAATTCAATCTTTACATAGTAATATTACTAAATGTCCAATTCCAATCCAAAAAATCGTTACTTTTCTTTCTCTCTCTCTCTCCCCCCTATCCATCCACTTATCCTTCCTCGCCTCTTTGAACGAACCTTTCCAAACTCTGCTAAATAATCCGTAATAGCTTTTCTGAAATCCAATCCATCAGGCAACGATGGCTTCTCAACATCTTTCATATCACCCAAATGCAGCTTGAACAGTTCAACGGGTTTTGTGTCAACGTTCCGCGCACCTTTACCCTTTTTCTTCTTTGGCCGAACAGCAAGAGCAGGTACACCCCACTTATGCACTTTCCAATCTTCAGTATAGAGAAGGGCTGTCGGAGTTTTTAACGCGCCTCGTTGTTCCGGCCTGTTCATATGTGAAGAATTAGATACTTTGCATAATGTACAAAATCGAGAGGGTTGACTATTTACCATGTGTCGTGTGTTTCTATTGTGTTCTTGTTCACTTTATTAGCGTAGGCAAATCCTAAAGAGAAAGTAACATGTTAGCAGAGTTATTCCGTTACTTGATCAGAAAATACTTTTCTTTTCAATTCATTGCAGGAATTAGGTCGCTCGTATGTCACATACCAGAGAAAGTTGTGCCAAAATCTTGAAGCAAAACAAGTCATTCAGTATATATGCGATAAAGATTAGCCATATTCTAGTTGTCAGAACACTTTTCTAGATCATGAACACTAGCATAGCCACTCACCTATTCCTACAACCACTCTTGCATCTTGGTCGGATTCGGACGGACTGGTATTTTCAGGTTCAATGTAGTGGAAGTCCATGATATTATTGTCGTTAGCACTGATCTAGCGTGAGAAAAAGCAGCAAATTGTCTACAATCAGGAAGAAAGATGAATGTCCACTATTGAACCACCATAGTTATTCTGTCAAGTTGGTCAAACTGCGCGTTTTGTTTATTATCTGGCCAGATTTAGTTGAGGAGAGCGGGACCTCGAACTCCGAGGTTGGACGTTATACAATTTTATCCTTGTCGTACATAAAGTGCATAACAAGCAAATTGATATATACAATATGCGAAATCAACATTAAAGAATTTAAAAGGCCCATGTTTGGTGGCGTGAATAAAAGATCTTCACTGGAGTGAATAATTTGACGGAGGATAGCCATTAGTTAAGGAAACGGATAACTTTTCTTTGCAACAATAGTATATAAAGTTTGAATAGTAAACGTAGTTCAACGTCTGGGTCTTTACAAAGCATTTTATTTAATTAATATTTATAACAATTTCTAATGTTTACAGATGAAATTCATTTAGTTGCCGTTATAGAACGAAGAATAAGCGACATCTAATCAACATTGTTTATGTGATAATAACGAATAAAATGTAGCTTGGCTGAATTCTCTACGGACCAGAACATGACGATAACATGTTATAACGATGAAACATGCCCCGACGGAAGTATCGTTATATCCGATTTTGACTGTGTTCTGCTGCTGCGATTGTTATACCTAAAGTTTGTAATAGAAAAGAAAAAGAAAGAAGACTGTAATATGTAACTGCTGGCTTTTACTATATAATTAAGAAACTTTGCAACAAAATTCCTACCCAGAAAATTAAAAAAAAGACAAACTTTTCAGCTTACCAAAGGCAAAGAGGGAGCCACACAAAGTCCTTGTTGTTCATAAACACATCCATGCCGGCGTCATCACAAAGAAGTAAGTCCACGATGCTCTGCATAGCGAGAGAGGGAGGTACAACAGACCGAATCGCCAGCATCACAGAGAGTAGAGATACCGATTGCAAAGTAGATCTACGAATGCTCTGCATAGCGAAAAGGGAAGATTTACAAGACCGAATCGCCAGCATCGCAAAGAGTAGAGAGACTATTGCAAAGAAGTAGGTCCACGAATGCTCTGCATAACGAGAGAGGGAGGAAGTACGAGACCGAATCGCTAGCATCACAAGTAGATATACCGAGTGCTCTGCAAGACATGAATGCCACCTGTGGAGAAGAAAATTTTTCATGCTTGTTATCCTTATGCAAGGTTTAAATATTTATTTCACCTTGTAAACAATTGCGAATTTTGTTTTCGTGCACGTAAACAACTCATCTAATGCAAATCATGTGATATGCCTAATATAATATTAAGGGGAAGATTCGCGTTCATTATTGTTTCCCTTTCTCGTGATATTGATTGTTTCCCACCTCCGATTGATGTTCACGTCTAGGAGGGAGGGGGGGGGGGTCAGACGTGTGTTGCGTTATACTCTAGCGTGGACGTGTGTCGCGTATACTCTAGCGTGGACGTGTGTCGTGTGTCGTGTATGTGTCGCGTATACTCTGGCATGGATCTGAAAAATTTTTTGCACAGGAAGCAGGTCGTTCTATCGACCGACCAAATTATGCGCCGATATGTCTCATACCTGGGGGGCGGTAGAGTTGAGAGAGCTGCTGCGGCAATATAGAGAAAGGGTATTGAGTAGTGCGCTAGAATTTTCCTATTTTCTTACCACCATTTGTATAAATGAAGACAGAATGTGACTTACTAGTGAAGGATTGCGGTAATTCCCATGTCGAGTTGGGAGCGAAGGGGCAGGTGGATGAGATAAGTTTTAGGAAAGTGCAAATGGTCTATGAAACGCGCATGGTTATCATATTGATAGGAGGTACACAGTAAAAGTCGATATAACGGACTAATCGGGACCATAGCCTTTTCTCTGTTATATTGACGGATCCGTTATATCGAATTTTATTAACTAGAAATTTAATATGACATTTATAAATTCCGTCCCAGAGAAAAAGTCCGTTATAATTAGTGTCCCCTATATAGACGGTTCGTTAATATCGACCTTCACTGTGTATAAGATTGTGGAGTTAGGTTTAAACCAACAAGGTATTTATTACTTGAATCATTCTCCAGCTTTTGTGCCTTTATTAACACATATTTGATGGAATAACATTATTAAAATAAAATATACCATAGATCACAGATACACGTATAAAAAAACGTGTTGAAGCTAGGAATATCGTCTTAACTGCACTTTGTAATTACAGTTACTTGCGCATATCTCATAACGCTCAGCGGTACCGTATATTGTCGAGGCCGAAGTGTCCCCCGATTCAAAGATATCATTTCCGTGATATAACACCTCAATTGAGTAACGGACTAAAGACTTGAGAGTACAACAGAGTGGAATATTGTGTTAATAATAATATTATTGTTTGTATCAAAGTGGGGCGAGTCTTTCGTAATGCAGTAGTTTTAATAGTGTGTTCCTTGTTGGCAAACATTAATACCAAAAAGAAGGCCAATACCTATGGCGTTAAGCGAAAAAAGAAAAAAAATTTTTTTTTTTCTCGAAATTGCTATTGTACATATTTACTATGTAAATTTAAATATTATGCCTAACGTTTATATGATATTCCAGAGACACGAAACAAGGAATTCTGAGATGTCGGGACAGAGACCCAAATCTCTAAGAGAACATCCAGTTGCCACAATCTGGGATGCTCTTACCCTCTAAGCCAATAACGATGACAGAGTTTCCCAACTTATATAAATGTTAATATTTAGAACTCTTATAGAAGTCTTCATGTGATTCTCATTTCAACGAAAAAATCGCAGTTTCTGAGCATTTTACAGTTCTTGATTTCGCTATGCAGTAAAACATTGGCATTAACTCTTTAATTAAAATCAAAAGCACTAATAATTATACGCACACACCAGATGAAACTACTTTTGGTCTGTTGAAATTCTGATAAACGCTTGCAAAGAAGTTTAATCAATCGTTCTGGAGCTTCTTAAGTTCTTCCCTTACATACTGTATCGGCCGAAGACACATGTTTGAGATGAAAATGCATTACTTTCTGGCTACGTTAGCCATCACCTTATTGTACATTCAGGTAATTGGCATCGGGTTGCTCGGATACAAGATGCGCTAGAATCCGGGTTGTATGATTAAGTCTTCCTTGTTTCCCTTTAATGACATTAAGTAGTAACATAGACAGACATCTTGCTCAAGAACCATCGCAAGCTCGCTTCGTGATAAAAGTGCTTTTACATGTAATAATTTTCTTATTGTTGCCGCACGACGGTTGATTATTGACGCTAATAATCGGCATAATTTAACTAAATAGTGTAGACGGTTAGTGACAACTAATTTGACATATTGGACGCATTACCACCCACTCCATCTATCAAATTTTTACTTAAACTTATTTTTACTATACTGTACTTATTTTATAATATAAAGCTTTTTTGCTGAAAATATTTTACTTGTACTATTGTTTTAATATTAATATGTATTACTTTTAGCAAATTATTTTATCAGGCTTTATATCATGGAAAATAGAATGGAAAAAAAAATTTTTTATGTGATTATTCTTTACTAATATTTCTGTAATAATTCGGTTATTATACAACCGAATTGTTCAAGTTACGATGATTATGGTAAAAGCAGCCGCGTAACTTACTGACGATAAATTAATATGTTGGCAATAGTTACTCAGATTTAAAATTCCGCGGTAACAATTAGTTATATATTTAACTGAAAGTTAATAACCGCATTTTATCAACGTTATAATACTAATAACAACAATCACACAGCTCGCATCTAACCCATTGACATTTTTCAGAAACCCCACTTTTCTAAGAACGGTGGTAATAGTAATGCCGCCTTAGTGGTGAACCAGACACTGTGAATTACATGGACGTTGAAGCAATGTCATGAGATAGATACGTGCCAAATAATGCACGACATCGGCAAACATTACAGTTAGAAGTTATATTTTGAGTTACACCAATAATTATAGTTATAAAAAACTATGTACCGAGGTATAACGTTGTATCAATTCTGAGTGCTATAAACATTTCGTAATGGTACTTATCGTGACATATATTTATTTTTTATGCCCACTCATTTTTATTCGGCAGGTAGATAAGTCAGACGTTTATTATTTTTTTTAATGTCGAATCTTAAAGAGCAGTCTTGTATGGCATGTATTAATAATTCTTAACATTAATATTAAATGTTGATCTGAAAATGAGTACCCATACTGTATAGATCCCAACGTGTTGTAATGAGCGGAATGTTATTAATAATTATTATTACACTTTTAAGCACAGCAACGGAAACCTGCTGAAAGTGCGGTAAGAATTTGTCACTTATATTAAAACTTGGTTCTGACAACATGTGGCATATTATGATGTGAGACCGTTATCACGTCGAGCGTGCAAACTGTTTGCTTATCCTCAGACATATTTTTCTAGTTCAATAAAAGACAGCAATCATTGCAAGATTTATTATGTTATTAAAAAGTTCAAGACACGAACGGCTAATATACAAAATTATGGTTTGTGTATATGCATATTTCCACAAAGTACCCGCTTATATACTCTTCAAGTCATGATAAATCGGCTATGAAGCAATTAGTTGCTTTTATAAATGCGTCTGTAGGCATTGCCAATTTCCAGTCAACATGCCCACCACCCATATAAAACACGGATGGCCTAATCTCGGTAATGCTTTTAGACAAAATTACTGGTATCGGCTGTCTCATGCCTAAAGAAGAGCGCGTTAATAGTTACGTAAATAAACACAGCACGACAAATATTGATAAAATCGTACCGATAGGTGAAACTCCGTTATTCTCAAAACCCGTTAATTCGTAAGATTTCTAAATGATGGGGGAAAAAAGAGCATGAGCTGACGTCAATTGTTGCAAGTTCGATAACGTCGATTGACTACATGCCTCTGCACTGGCCACTCTAAAGTTGTAGTTCTTCTTACTGATTTCTTTATTCTTCAACGACCTTACATAGTTCATGAGTTTTTGTGTGTTAACGGCACCCACATACTAATAACAATGATCAGTGAGTAAATGTAAACCCGTCGAATAATTACGAATATGTTAAATTTATTCTTACTTGGACGATAACGCAATAATATTTTGAGTTCAACGGATCTGTCAAAAACACCAATATCGTTATTTACTATGACTCGAAATCGTTTCAGGACAGTAACTGTTACTTACCATCAATACTCTCATGTGGACATCGCGTATTCTCAAATATTACGCTCTTGCAAAGATGAGCTTTTGATGGAGCACGGAGTCGGAACCTGCAAGGGATAGTCAAAGTTTAAAATGGCTAAGCCCACTGCACTGCATGCCCTGATGTAATCATCTTACTTACGCACGTTGTTGCAGTTCCCATTCGTAGTAATCACTTTCAACGTGATATAATCTTGAAACATCTTGTATTTTCAACAAGTCACATGCCCTAGCAACCTAGATTTATTTCCGTGAGGACTAGAAGCCAGCAGCTATGCAAAAATGGACTCGGACATCATATTCACCTACGTTCTGAACACATTCTGGTGCATCATTCAGGTCCTTAGGAAGTCCGGCCTTCTGTTTCCAGTAATTAAAGTAATGCGGTTGAAGATTATCATGAGAGTAGAGCGAGGACAGTGAATCTATCAGAACTTTCAGTTGGTTTTGAATTTCGAGATTAGTTGCTGCCATGCTTAGCGGGCCTTCCAGATATATAGTAATAGTCTTAAATTGTTGGGATAACGTCTTATCACTTTGTACAACGTTCCAATTACATTTTATTTCACGTGATTGATGCGTAACGTGATCAGTGAATTTACTCGTTTGACATATTCACAACCATTAATATTAAATCAATTTTCCTCCGGTTCCCATGTTTCCGAAGCGTAGATATGAGCTGAATTGGCTCACGGAAAGGTGATGCATAATCTTGTTCGTTGACATGAATATGTTAATAATTGGACAGTTCTAACTATTAATACAACTGCCTGTCGCAGGTAATGTTTATTTATCTATTAAAGTCATGAATTACAACAACTGATCCAATTATATTCGCTCTGCAGTAGCGGAAAATGGACCAGTCATTCTAGCTCAACGATCATCTTTTCCCCACATTGTCGTACACAATCCTCTGCCATCCTTATCTCTCGAACGCAGCACGTATTCGTCCACTAATTGTCGCAAGATTCTTTTTGGAATACATTAACCACATTACTACTATGTATCTTAATAAGCACGCCGAACTGGCACCACTTCCCACATAAATAAGTACTTTAAAAGCCATGTCGTCTATCGCAGTTACGCTATATGCGCTATATATCCACACTGGTAATCCAAGGATCATTGTATATACTGCGTAATATGTCTGACAGAGATGGAAGCCATAAATCAAGCTTGGATCTGAAAGATATGGACAGAGAATGAAATAGAAATCTTCTTTGCCTACATAAATTGGTAAGGACGTGAGTACACATATTTCAAGTAGCGTGCTCCCTCCCCCACCCACTTTCCTAATACCCAACCTACCTAATACAATTCCGGTGATTTTGGGCAGAGTAAAGCGCATGGGATCGTACTTTTTAACTACAAGCAAAGGAAGAATCCTAAACAGACACTCTAGATAGAAAGCATCTTGCATATAGGATTGACTATTGATGATTTCCGGTGTCATCTAAAAAAAAAAAGAGAGTAGAGGTGAATGAGAGAGATAACTACAATAGAGTAAATAAATGACGGCTTCTGGGATTAATCTATAAAAGACACTCTTACAAGTATAACAACAATTCATACTGAAGAGTTTACGTAAGACCTTGCTGATGCGCAACTTGAATATACAACCCAACATCATCCCTTAACCACACACGTATTTCTCTCCTTGATCAGCTTCCATTATCCATTCCCATCTTACCTCGTTTCCCACATACCCAATTGCCATAAGCATAGCAATAAACAAATACGCATTAATTGCAAACCATGTCACATAATATCCAATAACCATGTTTCTATTCCACTTAGCCGTTGTCTTATTAAGGGGGTCCTCATGTTCGGCATGTTCCATGGAAGAGTCAGAAGGAGCGTCAACAACGATTAGAGGTGTAAATGTTGGTATATGAGGTGGATTTACGGTAGTAGTGAATGTGTTTGTATTATGTGTCGTCGTATCTGATGTATCAGTAATATTAGTATTATCGTTGTCTCGAGTTTTTGTTTGTTTTTTTTTTTTTTTTCAAAAACGGGTTCATTTTCCGTCTCCTGTTTACAGTCCATCACCTGTTCTCTCGTTTATCCTGTTCTCGTCATTTGTCGTCTCTTCGCTTCCGCCGCCGTCGTGTGTGGACTCTAACAACCTATTCGACTCATATTCCGCCTGGGATGCTTCATAAGATGGTGGACCACTATCACATTGCTCGTCTGGATTGTCGGCAGGTACTGCTGAATACGTGGACATTTGATGTTAAAGAAAGTAATTAGACAACTCAGTTTTTGATCGGACAACGTTTCTGCCGGTTTTTGAAACTAAAATAGGGAAAATAATGAGCCGCCATATTGGTAATAGCGTAGGACAAAATAGTTAATTGGCATTTAAAAAACTGCGGTTAAAACAGATTTCATAGAAAACATGTTTTCTATTAAATTGAGATGGTCTGCTATTGTGCAGGATATAAACGATAACATCACTCACCACTATTTCTCTCTTCATTTGTAGCATAAAAACGTTTTTACGAAGACTTAGTTGTTAGGTTGTAAATATGATTTTTGCAAGTTATGGGCGCGATGATCATTCTTATTACCTACAAAACAAATCACAGATAGATAATAGCGCGATATATTAAAAACAAAAGTATTATTTATAGCTCGAGTCATACACAACAACTCGTTAATAAATAATTGTGCTATAGTTATAATTTTGTAATTTTGCAACTATAATTCCCCAACACTCTCATGTCATCTGCTTTTAAACCTCTCCCAATTTAAAGTCCTTTTATTTTTTGTCTGCACCCTCCAACTGCTGTCTTGTTTCTTTGATAATCAAAACAAATTTTGGTTATTATAATGAAGATTTGTCTAAACCGGTTATTTTTAAAGATGTGGCTCGAAATCTCTCCCTACCGTCTTTACGAAAGATGCAATAGTCGCACTAAAACAACATTCAACTTTCTTCAACAAAGTGACATAGAATTTAATGACGTTGAATTTAGATTTTTTCGTGTATTGAAGAGAACTGTGGAATCGCATAGTATTACAAAGCAACACAACACGCGCATGATTTAAAAACGGCGATCGTAGATCTGACTAGACTCATTTGTTAGTGCGACTGTTTATTATATCCATGTGTTATCGCTATTGATTGTAAATTGACGTAAAGATATTATTATAAGAGAGCTAAAAATAACCGAAAAAACTTTCGAATTAGAGCAATTGACTGAGGAAAATTAAAATTTTTAGGGAGAAAACTGAACTCGACTTAACTGAATTAACGGAATTAAATTTGGCGCGAGAAAAAAAGATGTCTCATTATATTAAAAACGCTGCATTCGGAAACCCGTACAGAACAGAAACAACTATGCCATACAATGTCAATACGTCAAAAATACATACAAACATTTTACTCAAAATAAGTGTATAAGCTACCAAACAATTATCGAACTTTGACGTCAAATAATTTGTAATCAAAACTGTTATTTCTCTATAAAATGCCATATGCAGGAATATAAAGCGAGATGCAACACAAAGCAAACTCGTAGAAGCAGCTGCTATTCAACGCATAGAATAAAATAGAATAAAATAGCATTACATAGTTATTATATTCATAGGATATAAAATCGAGTTCGTTACTGCATGGCGTTAACCAAATGAGATATAGTCGAATTAATTCTACACCAATATTCTATTAACAAGAAATTACGGCAGCGAAAGAATAATAACGTTGACGTTAGATGCGCGTGATTCTAAAATGTTATCTTTACTTTTTGGCAAAAGTACAATAATCACTTATATTTTTATTAATCCTGTTATAAACAACCCTTGGAGTTTTTTCTTCACTATTTTTTTAACATCTATTAGTTCAATGTCTTCTCTACGTAATTCTAAAATGGCAAAAACAATTAATCAATAAATTACAGTAAATAAAAAATTTTTTTTCGAAGCATTTTGGATCAAACTGTCTATAAAATTGCACCTAATTTGATAGATTGCAAGCGGGTTTTTAGCATTGTTAGCTTTTAACTCAAAACCTTAATCTACGAGAAATATTGTTTGTATCTGAACAAAAAGTAAGTCGTTGATCCTGGCAAGGACCTTGTCGCAAATTATGGACGTAAATTGTTTACTATTTTCATTTAACGCTCACCACAAATACGCTAGTGCCGCTAAAATGTTGATAGAAAAACGCGCTTTGCGATTAAAGATTTTGGCATAACCCTCGTTTTAACAGACGCAACACTTCTCGGCGCACGATATCGTTATTAGTTAACAGGAATTATCTGAACGAATAATCTCACAACAAAAGTATAACCTTGTTACTTAGTGTTACATTGTAACAATACAGTTACTCTTTACAAAGAGACGCTTCAAAAAACGGAACAGACTTTAATTTAGATATTTTCCATCAGATCGCTTTATGACGATGTTCGCATTGGCCAGGTCGATCACTGAGATGCAAGGGCGATCATGTTTCAAACAAGTTAGTTTTTTTTATGACTATTTCAACTTTAATAAAGTCACATGATATTAAAAATGTATTTTGTTTATCATCACTTGCAGCTATTAATTCAATCAGCAGACAATAAATAATGATCAAGTGGTTAATAAGATAAAGATTTGAGTTGTTAAATTAATGTGAAATGTAACAGATATATACTGTCTGCTTTGCCATTGTCAAAAGCGGAGAAGCATATGTTTTAATGTTGTTTATGATGAACAATTTAACAAGAATAATTCATTAAAATAAATCACGCAAATATAGAAACATGTGTATAAGTTTGAACACTTGCATATGGCTAAGCATACATTGTGCTCGAGTGTACTATTAAAAGTATAAATTGCAACCAAAAAGCCACAGTTACGTTCAATAAACTGCATTGCTTGATGTTTCACAGCGTATACGAGCCTTTTTATCGACTCCCGACAAACAAAAAAACTAATTCACCTTTTTTTTATTTGTAATGCAAATGTGAATCATGTCAAGTTCGGAAATGACAATGAATTTCACATTCCTGATGGCAATCTTGCGTAACTGTGAATAACATATTTTGCACACTTTATAAATACGACACGTAGAGTATTACCCGCAATCCCGTAGTTTGACTACAATCTAATAATTAAATTAATTATTATAATAATATTAAATACCGAGTAATCGATACGTATATTTTTTACAATGAAGTTCTTGAAAAGTTTATTGCAGTAAGTATAATAATTAAAGAATGAGATTGATTGGCTTTACTTGAAGCATTGATAGATTATTTTGAAATTATGACAGGTACGAGACGTTCAAGATGGTGAAAGTCAAAGAGTAAGTGGTAGCGCGCTCTGCTTTAAAATATGTCTTCATTCTAATTTTAACAACTTTTTACTTTACATAGCCAAAGACTTGGTCTCATATATCGTATACTTCAAATAGCGATCTTTGCATATATTTTATATACGATAATTGCTTATCAGGGTTATCTGCATAAGGTATAATACCAATGCTTTGCCTTGATGTTATTGTTCCGATTTTTCACGACTTTTTGTCCGCGTTATTACAGGAAGCACCGGTTAAGGGAGCAGTTAGAATATCACTTAAAGCGCCATCAACGCTAACGGCTCCAGCATATTGCAATAACCCACTCCCGTGTGTCTATTGGGGAGCAAACGAAAGTAAGTAGAGATTATGTTGTGGGGTTCAAAAGTTAAACGCTGCACACTGTGGATAACTAAATGAACGACCTCGCGACCATTCACCTGTTCACACAACCCGTATCAATGACCACCAGTCCAATTTCCACCAGACGGTGCAGGCGTGGCTTTTGTAACAACCCGCGCAACAGTTAACCGTTATACGCCTCCGACAGGGTGCAACTTTCTAACACCAACCACCCCGTCCGATCCTTGTATCTTTGACGCGAACAAGACACCAACCCAAACGCTTACCAATAAATCATACATTGGTGATATAGAAGATTACACTCTGATGATTGAACATTCAATCCGTGGTCGAGCGACATCCATTGCAGTTCGCAACGGTCAAATGGACGGGAAACTCATGTCTTCCGATGGAAAAACAGTCATCAAGGAATGGACCAATGCAATAAGAATGGATGAAGATCCCCATGCAGATGGAGATATCATAAAAGTAAGTCAACTCTTGGAGGCTGCTGAAGCTGATTTGGAGGCGCAATCGACTGCACCCGGCGCCCAAAGTGGGGAAACGTATAGATCATCGGGAATCGTCATTGTCATTGTGATCGAATACCAGAACGTCAAACTCAAGAAGGACAAGTTTTCATACAAATATCTTCCTCGGATGATAGAGGGAAACGAGTATAAGGCTGTCGAGAGTTTGTATCAAACTGATGGATCGTACATATTAAAAGAAAGACATGGTATTCGCTTTGTATTCGAACAGCATGGAGAGATCGGGGAATTCAGTATGGTTTCGTTGCTTGAGAATATCGTTGCAGGTTTTGCGCTGTTTAAGGGGGCTACTATCCTTGTGGAGATTCTCATGTTGAAATTTTTACCAGAGAAAGACATATATGAAGATGCAAAGTATGAAGAAACAAGTGACCTTGACGAATTGAGAAAAAGGAACAGTAATTGATAGTATAGAGTTGCACTGTATAAAAATTTTGTAAGAATAAGAAAGGAGACCTGCATGCAGTGTTTGTTCCACAACGACAATGACAAAAGTGATTGTCGGGAGAGACTTTTTTAAGAGTGACTTTTGCATATACAGGGTATTATTTAAGAATAAGCGGGTAAGCGGATAATCGGATAGATTCCTGTTGTTTTCTAGCATTTTTGGACCTTGATGCTGCCATTACTGCTTCGTAAGAGCCGAATTATCACCTCCATATTTCGATAATTCTTTGTTGGAAAAATAATAACTTACGTTTCGGCTCGTTAAGGCGCCTCACCGTTTTGAATAACAAAGAGCCGGATATTCATAGATTTGGAATTTTGGCTGAGCAGATAAAAATACCGTGTTAGAATGAATGCAGCTGATAAGAAATGGTTTGTACGCAATGTACTATGAACAAGTTCATACCCAATTCTGATGGATATATTTGTCTTACAAGGCTTTGCAGAGATAAAATGTGAAATGTGAAGTAAATAATATAGAGTTAAAGTATTAATACTTGTAATGATAGTCGAAAAGAAACGAATACGCATCGATGAATAGACAAACAATCCGTCATGATGCGATTTTATCAAGTCAATGTATAATAAAATAGTAACGAAATTTAGAATAATGACGGACGTCGTCTCGCAATTTTCCCTTTTTTTCCGACACAGTCTCGATTTTCAGTGTCAAAAAAAGGTATAAGTAGCTTAACCTCAGCGTCAAACTCAGGTTGAAACGCTTATTTATTATTGACCAAATACTGACAAACCCCTAATATTTACTGAATACACATATATTGAATAAACGATTTCCTTCGAAATCAAATTATCGTCTCTTTTCGACTGAACATACCAATAAACGGCTCGCTCAAGCCGTAACGTCTAATGAACGAGGGACAAGGGCTCATAGATAAAGTTTACGGCGGCGACGGGCACATTTGTTTACAAATTTGAGAAACAACGGTGTATGGCGTCGTGTTGGGATACCTATCGTGAAAAAACATAACTCAATCGGTATATTATCATTCTTCCACAAGGAGTAAAAAACAAAAAAAAAACTCCAATTTTAGAAATTCTGAAATTTATTTGGTGCAACCAGCTTTTCATCCCGACTTATATGCTACAAGCGAAGGCTCGTACGCAAATAACATGATAGTATATTTTAACGTCCTTAGCATGAAATGGTCATATACTAATGTATTTAGCCAGCAGTACACCACTATGGAGACAAATTGAAGTTACAAATGCTGATATGCTCCATGATGAGTTGTTATCATGTCATACTTAGCTTGTCTATGTCTTGCATGCAAACTCTGCAAAATGTATGAGCAGCTCAAAACATCAGCTTGTTGGTGCTTGAGTTTCGTTTAAATAATTAAAAACTTAGCCAAGATGCTACATTTCAAGTATTCGCCTCCACAACACTTTCTGCACACAGTTCTTCATAATGATGTAATTTTTACAATGAAATTCAGGGTAGCATAATCTACAGTGTGTGATGAAGAAGTTGCTATTTTTCTCATAACTTTATGCCTCACCTATTTTAGCACAAAATGCATTGTGCAAAAAGCCCCCTCAAATGGTTGAATGAGCTCAGGTTTGTAATACTGTCTGCTGTCATCACCCACTTATCCATACTCAAAAGGTCTATAAACTGTGGCTAAGTCTGTATTTATATTTGAATACTTTTCAATGGTGATAAGTGGAACATTCACTCACCAATAATTGAAACTGTAAGCTTGTTTAATATGTGCTTATTATTATATTAATATGTTTTATTTGTGCATCCACAAATTAATCAATCTGAATTTCATCAGTGCAAAGAGAAGTTTAAAGAAAATGAGATCAAATAGTGAAAACTGCACAAAAAATTAACAAACAATGCAACAGTACCAAACATGAATAATACTAACATAGCATATCTTTTTAATATTAATAAAACTTTTAAACAGAATAAATTACAATTTTATATTAACAACAAAATACAAGTGTTTCATACATTTTAACTGCATCTTGATAAGCATCAAAGTCATTGTGTTTTTTTGTCATGTTGAACTTTAATGAAATTTGAATAAAGTTAATTATAATGACATAGACAGAGAATATTATACAACAGTTAGATTATTTGAATTAGAAAACTTCTCAGACTAAACTCCAAAAGAATATGTCATTCATAAACAACTACAACTTAAACTCATACAACAACTACTACTGTACTACCTGAAATATCAATATTAATATATCAGCTTTTCCAAAATAATTCATTTATTGTCTTCTTAAGATGAGCAAGTTAAAATTTTAATTTTATAATCTCAGAGTCAAAGAGGGATTTGATTCTAGAGCCTTTGCCAAAGCTGTTGCTCCTGTTGCTCCAATTTCATTAATCTGGAGATCCAATGAAGTCAGAGAGGAATTTGATTCTAGAGCCTTTGCCAAAGCTGTTGCTCCTGTTGCTCCAATTCTATTAAACCAGAGATCCAAAGAAGTCAGAGAGGAATTTGATTCTAGAGCCTTTGCCAAAGCTGTTGCTCCTGTTGCTCCAATTTCATTAGACCGGAGATCCAAAGAAGTCAGAGAGGAATTTGATTCTAGAGCCTTTGCCAAAGCTGTTGCTCCTGTTGCTCCAATTTCAT